TATCTATCTATCTATCTATCTATCTATCTATCTATCTATCTATCTATATGTAAGAGCTCAAGTCAAAGTGCCTTGTAAGCCCTGAGGAGTTTTAAAGGCTTTTGGGGTATCCTTGTTACTTTTCTGTTCTGTTAAGGTGCTACACCCAAGGCAGCTTATAAAAGAAAGAGTTTATTTGGGGATTGCAGTTTCTGAAGGTTAGAGTTCATGACCATCATGACAGAGAGTGTGGCAGCAGGCAGGTGTGGTGCTGAAGCAGTAGCTGAGAGCTCACATTTTCAGATACACCCTCAAGGCAGAGAACTTACAGGGCAATGACGTGAGTCTTTTGAAATCTTGAAACTGTTCTGCAAAGCCACATTTCCTCCAACAAGGCCACACCTCCTAAGCCTTCCCAGACAGTTTCACCAACTGGGGATTAAGTGTTCAAATATATGTGCCTATGTGTTTATTCTCATTTAAACCACCACACTCTACTTCTTAGTCTCTACAGGCTTGTGGCCATATCATAAAGCAAAATGCATTTATTCCAACTTCAAAAGGCTCCACATTTTTCACAGTTGTAATACTATTTCAAAGTCCAAAGTTTCTTCTGACACTTTAAGCAATCTTTTAATTGTAACCGCATTTAAAATCAAAAAGCAATTTATGTACTTCCAACATACAATGACATGGAATTTATATTACTATTCCAAAAGGGAGTGAGAAATACTGGACCAGTGCAAGACTGAAACTTTGAAGGGTCAACTCCAGATACTGTAGCTCCATGATGGCTTCACTATTTGGACCTAACTAACTGCAACACACTTCTTTCTCTTGACCGGCTCCCTCTATCTGCAGCTCTTCTTGACAGATATCTCATGGTTCAGGTATCTCCAACATCTTGGAGTCTCCAGCACAATCCAGGCTTCACTTTCTCAGCTTTATGCAATGGTCTCTTGAGGCTTCCATACAGGGACTTCTCTGCCATACACCTGGCCTCAATGGCTCACCTTAACCATGGAGGATGATTTTGCAATCCCTTAATCCTTGTATCCTTCATAACACTAAAACCAGACCCATAGGCTGCCCACTTGGGATGGAACTTGACTCCCTCCTTTAATTACATTTGCAGTAACTTCCTTTGTTGTTGGTTTTTAGGAACAGAAATCCCCTCAAGCATTTTATTCTACAAGTTGGAAGCTAAACTGGGTGGGCTCTTGTCCTGAGGGCACCCCTTCTTTTATTCCATTTTGCATAGGGCCTGTACTGATCTTATTGAGCTTGGGTCCAAGGTTAAATTGTTAAATTTCCTGGTGCTCCCTTCTCTTTTCCAGCTGCACAGTGTGTTTCTTTTTGTTTCTCTTGTTCTTTTTCCCTTTCGATCCACATAAGAATGATATTAATAACCGTGGGACATAGTCAGTATTAGGCTTTCTTGAAATCTCAGCCAAGGAAATTAGTTCATTACCTTTAAATTTTGCCTCAGGCAGATTCTTTTTATTTTTTTATTTATTGATTTTATTGAGTGTATATTTTTCTCTGCTCCCCCCCTTCCCTCTCCCATGGTCCCCATGCTCTCAATTTACTCAGGAGATATTGTCTTTTTCTACTTCCCCATGTAGATTAGATCCATGTATGTCTCTCTGAGGGTCCTCTTTGTTGTCTAGGTTCTCTGGGATTGTGATTTGTAGACTGGTTTTCTTTGCTTTGTGTCCAAAAACCACTTATGAGTGAGTACATATGATATTTGTCTTCCTGGGTCTGCTTTACCTCACTCAATATGATGTTTTCTAGATCCATCCATTTGCCAATAAATTTCAAGATGCCATTATTTTTTTCTGCTGTGTAAATGTACCACATTTTCCTTATCCATTCTTTGATTGAGGGGCATTTAGGTTGTTTCAGTTCTGGCTATGACAAACAATGCTTCTATGTACATAGTTGAACACATGTCCTTGTGATATGATTGAACATCCTTTGGGTATATACCCAAAAGTGGTATTGCTGGGTGTTGAGGAAGGTGGTTTCCTAATTTTCTGAGAAATTGCCTTACTGATATCTAAAGGGGCTGTACCAGTTTGCACTCCCACCAATAATGTTCCCTTTACCCTACATCCTCTTCAGCATAAATTGTCATCAGTGTTTTTGATCTTGGCCTCAAGCAGATTCTTAGGACACAGGCAAAAAGCAGCCACAAGAATAGTTTCTAGCCTCTGGAATCTTTTGAGCTGGGACCTTCATAGTCTGTATTGTTCTCAGCACTATTGTCTTCCAAGCTCCTACTAGAATGGCCCGTTTACCCTTTCTGATAGCATTCAGCTTCTTTCCTAGTCCAAAGTCTTTCACAGTCTTGGAAAAAACTTCCTAATCCTTTCTTAATAGCTGTACTAAACTGTGGACCAACGATTCAAATACATGAGCCTATTCTCATTCAAACCACCATGGGAAGTAATGACTTATTTAATAAAAAGATACAAGAATACAACAGCTAAATCATTTAAAGTATCAATTTTTTTTAACTCATTGTAATGTTTTCTGATCTAGCATAGAAGCCAAGCCCATGAATGCTTTAACCAATCACATAAATTATTTAAACTCCTCTTATATTTTGGTTGTGTGCCTAGCTGTGAATGGCTGAGCCATCTCTCTGGCTCCAAGCCACTTTTATTTCCCAATAACAGCTAATTTTCTTCAGGATATGTAGAAACGAGCAAATGGCTCATGTCTTGTTTGTCTTATAGGTTAGTCAATGGACCAGGCTGTGTGAACTTACCATCCCTCTAGCTGTTGAGAATTTTCTCCAAGAGTCTTCTGATCAGCCCCCAGCTATCCCTGAAGAAATCCTACAGCTCGAGAGAAAACTCAGTGAGCCTGTCAGAGTACACAATGATGACAAACTCCGCAGACAGAAGCTGAAGCAACAGAAGACTGCTGGAGTCACGCCGCTATCCAGCAAAGGAAAAGCAAAGGGCAATGCTGGTGCCCAGCAACCATCCAAAGAGTTGGCTGGCTCAGCCAAGAGTCTGGAACTGAAGGTGGCATTCTCAAAGCTCACAGTGCAAGACACCACAACTGCTACCAACAGGGAGCCTTCCGACATCAGAAAAGCAAAATCCTCTGACCTTCCGCCTCTGGAGCATGTGTTTGCAGAAGGCCTGTACTTCACGTTGGCAGACATCGTGCTTTTGCCCTGTGTTCATCACTTTTTGGTAAGGATTTGTCTAGAATCTACAAGTTACTATGAGTTTCAGTTTGTCAAATTGCTTCGGTTTGAATTAGACTGTGCTTTTTACTCTGTCATAGTTCTGAGCAAACTCGTAACAGTAGAAACTGTTAATCTGTTAACTGTTCTCTAATCTGTAAAATGGTGGTCACAGGACTTTGTGTTGTAAGGTCTTGTTGTCTTCCCTCCAGAGGTACACATATTAAAGGCTTGGTCCCAGCCTGTAACAGGTGAGACCTATTGCAAGGCAACTGTGGCAATGGCTATAAGCTGGTGAACTGGATGTAGGCACTGTGTCCCCTCTGCCTCCTTCCGCTAATTTCTTTGCAAGGAGGTGAATAGGTATTCTCCACTTTATCTTCCTGCCACGGTGTTTTGTGCCACCACAGGTTCAAGATAATAGGGTCAAGTGACCATGGACTGAAATCTCTGGTCCTAGGTGGCAAAATCAATCTTTTCCTTCTAAAGTTTATGTTGTTAGTCTTTCTTTGTTCCACCAGCCAACTCTCAAATAAATGACCAGAAACTTCTTAAATTAATTTTGAAAGCTCAACAGATAGCTTAGACTTGTTTCTAACTAGCTCTCATAATTTAAATTAACCCATTTTTATTTACCTACATGTTGCCACATGACTTGTGACTTAACTCTTTTTTTGCCTGCCTGTTCCCTCTGGATCTGCTGGTGACTCTGCAGTCTTCTTCTGAGCGTCCTCTCTACCCTGAAAATCTTCCCTACCTATTGCTGTTCAGCTTTATATTAAACAAATCTGAGTGACACATCTTCACAAGTATACAAAAAGGTTACTCCACAGCATTTCCCCTTTATGGTCTAAATAAAAAGGGAAAGTTTTAACTCTAACATAATTAAACCATATAGTAAGAGCAACTATCAGGTATGTATTGTCTAAATAGAAAGGAAAGATATTAACTTTAACAAATGATACTATATACAATAAGAAAAATTATCAAGTAAGAATTACATTTACAGTATCCAGTCCATTCGTGTTTGGCAAATTCAGAGAAAATATTCCATTACTAATCCTATCTTGGTGAGTTCAAAGTTTTGTACCTAATTAACCTTCTATCATAACTAAAGAAAACTATAATTATGCAGTCTTCAATTCCATCAAAGACCCAAGAAGACTATAATAATACCTATTGATAACTGAGGGAGCTAGCCTCTTGTCAACGCTAGAATATATGGCAAAAAAAAAATCCACAAATATGGCAAGGGCTAGACTTTCTATCTGAGGGGTAAATAAGGAAACATACACTTTCTGGTGGAAGCTTTCTCTTTTACTTCATTTTTTAAAAATCCTCTCTGAAAATCTCTGTCTGCACACCGTAACATTCTTTACATACAGCTACTTATCTCTTTACATACATACATCTGTCTCCTACATAGCCATATATCTATACACAATTACATCTGTTTTCACATGGCTACATACCTTTCCTTTACATACATTTCTCTTCTACATCTCTTTTCTAGACAGCTTCATCCTCCTTGCCTTCACACAGTTACACATCTCCACACAACCACAGCTACACATCTCATTTACACAGCTCTCTCACTGCACAGCACTTTACATAATTCCTACACACAGCTCCTCTATGTAGCAGAGCTCTTTCACACAGCTGTCTTTCACACTCACACGCTCACAGCCTTCTTCCACGTCATTCACACACATACACACACAGTCACCCCTCTGCCCAGCTCTTTTCCTCTTTTCACATTAGCCCTCTAAATAATTCTACATCCCACTCCTCTCTCAACCAACTCCGGACAATTATATGTTACATTTTCAGGGCCTGAACCATTCTCCTCACACAAGATAAGTCACATAGTTTCTCTTAGGACAGTCAGTAAGGCTTGGCCATGCATGTATCTCTAAATTTATGAGGTTTCACAGACAGAAAACGACATTGGAATTCAAGACTTAACAATAACAGCTAATTGTACCTTGAGTGGTAGGGAGTATGTGCAGAAAGTTTCTTAGTGCATGAAGTTTATGTCAACCAAAGTTTACTCAAGCCTGACCTTGAATCAGCAACAAACATCTGGCAAATTGATCTCGTGGATTTATCTCTAGGGGAAACCAGATATTCATCTCCGGGGGCAACCAGTTTGATTTGAATATGTTTTGAAGTCTAAAACTAACTGTCTTTTTGACTGAAAGTACTATTAATTTCCTGTGTCAGTCTGACTAATGAAAAATATTCTAGTGTTATTTCTGTTCATCAGAATTATACAGCTCAAGCAGAAATCATCTTCCTGACCATCTACAGATACATGTGCCCAGTAAATGGAATAAATTTTTTGCAGGAAATAAACATGAATTAGTGAAGAAACACCCATAGAAGTTCTTAGGGAAGAAATGAAGTGGAATATGAGTGAAATTATAGATAGGAACAACTGATTTTCACAGCCAATGACCCCATGAACTTTACCTAGTGGGCCTCCGAATAGAGTCATTTGTCTGGTGGGTTGACCTGCTGAACACTAGTTCTTACCTTCTGTATACCTCAACAGCCCTCTGCAATTACCTGAGTAAACAGGAAGTGCAGAGCAAGCAACCTCCAAAATTATTAGAAATGACAGATACACCTGGCCACCTAGACAGACAGGTTCCTCTGCAATATTGGGGCATCCAACTTTGGCCTACAGGCCTAGAATATCTGGCAAACTTTTCTGAGAACCATGAAATATTTGAAGGACTGTCTTACCCTCGCTTGACAAAGTTTGGCAGCTGATTTTCTTTGTGTCTAGCAAAGGCAGTTTCTTGGATAGCTTTTGACACAAAGAAAATAAACCCCATATGGAGGTTCTCTGATGCCTATTATCTTCTACAAAGTAAATTGGTGCTGCCAGGAGCAGATGTGTCTCATTATCATGAAAAGCCCAATATTAACAAAACATTTTAAATGTATTCTGTAGGTCTTTGAAGTGTTTATAGACTAAAGTGTTTGTCGACTATCTAAACTATATTTCTGACCTTGAAAACATACCTAACATGAGTACAAGTTTGATTGTTAAAGTGACTAACTTCTAACCTGTATTTCTTTAATATTGTAGTTTGTAATAATTTTAAGGACTAGATTTTTACATTACATTGATAAATGAGTTGCATAGGTACAATACCTTAAACAAGAATAGAAATATATGTACAGTATGTTCTAACAAAATAACATTAAATTTGTATCAGTATATAAAAATCGATACTAATGTAATGTATTTGAGACTAGTGATTATTCAAAAGTAAACTCAACAATCCATCTTTTTTATCATTTTATACCATATCCCCTCTTTTTCTCTTCAGAAAGAGATCCTTGAATCTAGTCTCCTTTTTTTCAGCTTTTTCTCTGACTATAACCAATAACAATTTGTAACCAGCCCCCCTCCACCCAGTGATGACAAATATCCATATTGCACTGAATAACCAAAAACCAACCAATTCACATCTCTTTGGAATTTGATGTTATATTCTCTAGACTGCTTCTTGATGTCTGGGGGTGTTGATATCTTTGGAAGATCCTGAGAAAATTAGGGTAATGGTCAAGTTCTGGCTAGAATAGTCTGTGAGGCTGGACCATCTCAGCCAGCAGCCCTGAAGCTATTCTGGATGCAAACCTAAGGAAACTGCAACAGAGGCATCTGAGACTGAGAGGCTGTATCACCCGGACCACTTGTTTTCATTGTTGTCTGGTTCTCTTGCTTTGAAAACACTCAATTTTCAAAGGTAACATACATATCTATATTTACACAAGTATGGACTGTGTATTGGAAAGAGAAGCCAGTCAAAGGTGATTTTTTTTTGTCTCTTGTCTTGTTGTTATTTTAGGTTCATATCTTTATGTCTATAACTAGTATTCTTAGGGCATCTTCTCTGATCAAACCTAATCCTCTTTAATCTTGAATGAATCCACAGACTTTCATTTTCTTTGGAAACAAAAGCATAACCTCTTCTCTAACACAACATATTTTTTGGCTTCCATTTTGAAGTTGAGACATTTTTAAAATATATAGGTTGGTTCCATTTAGTAGTCTCTATAATCCAATGTCTCTCGTTTTTTCATTAGCAATCAAAGAATTCAAACATAACACAGTAACATACATGATCCAGACTCCTTGTATATTTCCCATCTCTATGTGGCTTATTCTTTTATTATTATTACTTTACTTTTTTTTTTTAAAGACTTTACTTTGTAGCGTGACTAATAAAAACTCAGAGATGGATATTGGGGTTCAAGCTGAAGATAAGCAAAGCAGCCAAACCACTAGAGAGTTCTTACCTCTACTAAGGTTTAAAGGGGCGACCCTGTCATCAGCATGACTGAAGATGCAATACTCTCCACCAAACCTCAGACTTCATTGAGCTGCTATCTCCTCCTGCCTTACATACTTCTTTCTGCCCAGCCGTATCACTCCTGTCTCTACCTCCCTAGTGCTTTGAGTGCTGGAAACACCTTTGTGTGAGTTCTATTTCTCTTTTTAGACAGATTCAATCTTGTGTAGCCCAGGGTGGCCATGAGTTTTGGGATTAAAGATGTTTGCTGCCACTTTCTAGCTTCTAGTGGCTTAGCTCTGCACTCTGATCTTCAGGCAAACTTTGTTTATTAAAGCACAAATAAAATGTCACTATATTACTCTATTATTTTAAACTATTTTTATGACTATTTATGCCCTTTTTTTTAAAAAAAAACTATGCACATTGTTAAACATACTGTAACCTCTCTAGAGGGTTTTTCCATATGACTCTGCTTTACTTCTTATCTGTAACCTTTTCTGTCTGCATGAGCAAAACCTTAAACTGCTGAACTGCTTATCTCATGGTGTCCTGTCAGTGCAAGCCTGCAGGCAGTGGCTGAGAGATATGTCTTTGTTCCACCACCCTCAGGACAGACTGCGGAACTGTGTTTGGAAACTTGTTTAAAGCTTTTTCAGGTCTTGTGTGGAAATACATGCCCAGATATTGTATGCCATTT